GGACTAGAACTGCAGTTCAAGTTTATAAATGACAGATTTAAAAGGGGATGGTCAAACTTAAAAGCCAAGCTCTCCTGATATTCCTAGAGTGTAACTCAAAAACATCTTTCATCAGACCTCCCCTGCCTCATTCTTACACACCCAGCACCTCCAGTTTGCAAGCCATGCTTTTTTTTTATTATTGATTTTCCAGTTTTATGACCATGTAATAAAAACACTGACAAAGTTGTTTTGAAAAATATGGAAAACTTCCTCTTTATAAGATCAAACTGTGATGTAAATAAAGTCGGAAAAGTACTTTTCCTGTAGTGTTGTTTTGTCATATAGAATATATAGAAAATCAACGTTTTCACTGTTGTGCGAATTTAAGCTTTACACATTTACACTCACACACAATCAAACCCCTTTGTTGTTATTAACAAAAGCGACAAATGTCCTTAATATTACTGACTGTGGTTGAATTTAGAGTGGTCCGCTGGTATTGATACTACTACATAAAAGCAGAAGCTTAATGTATTCTACTTCTTTTATAACACATTTATTAAGGATTTAAACAAACATCCAACACTTCCAACTTCTTATAATGGGTCTAATGTTTACAGCATTTCATCTTACACACTGTATAACAGCAGTGTGTGTGTGTGTGCGCAGCTGGTGAAGAAAGCCTGCAGACCATGAGCCTAAGTGACATATAACGCTAAGTGAACATAATGAAAAGTTGTCCTACTTACAGAGCAATTTACAGTTTAGGCATTGAGCAGATGCTCATACACACAGCGGTAAAATGAGTGAGCACTCCTCTAGCATCAATAGAGCCACACAAACTCAGAGTGCTGTGAAAACAACAAATGCTACAACATTAAACAGAAAATGTCAGTGTGGGAACATCACTGCTTTCAGCTGACGCGTGGATGTGAACATTTAAGCATAATAATCATCTACTAGAGGCCTACTGCAACCCAAGTGGAAACAACAATAACTGCAAAATGGACACGGTTACTAATAGCACCATGTTTCATGAGTTTTTATATGTTTAGCTTTATTCAAAGAGACGTCGGGGAAATTAAGCAGCAAAAGGCCAGCCTAACATGCGAGTCAGGCGGTATCTGCTAAAGCCACGTTTTTCCTCAGTGTGCATCTCGGCTTATTGAAGTGCATTTCCAGTATCGGCAATCAAAACTCCTCTCGCCACACAAATAGGTCGTTATATAATCGCAGACCACCCAGTAGCTTAAGTTAGCGTTACCACTAGGACAACCAACAGAAAGAGTTTGGATGTAGACAAACATATCAATGTGGCATCTATCTTTGTATTCCCCTGCTCTTTCTGCTTGCACTTTAATAACTGGATAATTTGGCTGAAGGTGACATGTTCATTAGTGGGTGGCGGTTTAGTCTGATTAACCACAATAAGCATAACAAAGTAGCAAATCATTACCAGAGCTGCTTGTAATGTGGCCACTATCAACTCTCCGATCACAAAGCCTGGCAACTTCTTGTTCTACTTGGTTTATGTTCCTCAAACATCACTATTACCTTACATGAGTCAGGAAACACAAACAAACACAAAAAACTCATGTGCGTTATACTAATTGCTCTGCAGGTTACGAGGCAGCATAATGACTCACGTGGCAACAAATGATAAGTTAAGACACTGCCTGCAGTCATAACTGCAGCTATAACACGAGAATAAATAGCTCAAATTACTGAGAGAGACAGCTGTGTCTTTTTCAGGCTAAATAAGGCTGAAGAAAACAATGTCATGACCAAGTTTTTCTTAAATCTCATCATGAAGTTCACAAGCCACACCTTTGGTATAAATTTAGAGCCACATACACATACATCACTTCACATCCACGCCCTCTTGTCTTATAATTCAATGCCAACACATAACAAAGCACAACATTAGTATTACAATTCTCAATTTGCATTTGCAAAGCAAGCTGAAGACACTAGAAACTCAACATCGGGGACATCCAACAATTGTATTAGTCTGGCCTTTATCCAGGACACTGTGTTTACATTTACATTTAATAGGAAGATCCAACAGTTTAATTCCTCTGGTTAAGTCGTGTTTACATAAGAGCTGAATGAAACTGAGCTGCAGAAGTAGTAGAGCTAATGGGAGCTTCCCCGTGCTGCTGAGCACATGCAAGATAAAAAAAAAAATGAATGAACATACCTTCATCTCTCTATGAGTCCTCTAGGTGACCAGTTTAACGGATCCCAAGCTGGAAAAACAAAAAGGTAGGAGAAGCTGTTAAAAATTTCAGAGAGTGCCAACTTATGTCTGCCACAACAAGACACGATTATGTTATGATGACATCACTTCTTCTGCTACACTGCTGGATGCAATGAAGAAAAAGCTGGGCGGTAGATGCTCACTTTAAAAGGCTTGGGAAAAAAACATCGACGACTGCACACGAGACATCTTTCTTTTCTTTACATCCTGCAACACATCTGCTCGAGAAAGAGACAGACAAGGGTGTGTGTATGTGTGTGTACGGGATCTTTCCAGCCCAATAATATGTGTTGCAAAGTACACCGTGGCAGGCTGATCGCTCATTCGCAGAGCCTTTAAAGCCGTTTATGTAATGCCCAGCGCACACTGTTGTAAGTCAGTCAGTCAGCGCTAGTCAGCCAGACTTGGCTTGAGACTAAGAACGGCGAGCACAAACAAAGTAACTAGTCGCTACTTGAAGCAAAGGCTTCCTCTGTGTGTGTGTCTGTTTGTGTGCACAGATGGATAACATTGTAGCTGTTTAATGGAGTGATGGACAGTGTTAACAGCCGCACGGCACTCGTTTCTCCGAGTACACGGCAGCGTGGTGTGCCTGCTGTCTGCACTGCACTGACTATACCAACGCTACAGCAGAGGATGACGCCATTTCTGTAGCTGACAGTAAGCTAGAAAAGGAGAACAGTTGAGCAGGCAAACACTGGGAAAATCCAGGGAACCGCGGTCACAATTCACCTGCCCGTGTCACGGCCATTTCTCTCATCGGAGACTGGGATAACGCTGTTTTTTGTTACAGGAAAACTGCACCGAGACCATCCATTTTCGTTTTCGCTTCTCTCTCTCCCTCGGTGTCGGTGCACTGCTCTCTGCGGAGAGTGCGCTCGACAGCAATAAATAAATAAATAAATATATATATAAATGTAGAGCGAGGGAGCGAGATAATAACACAGTAGCTAGACCCCAAAAACCTTTATAGATATGTCATATCACCGCCCTGGTAGTACAAAACACGTCAAGTTGAGCCCCCCCGAAAAAAGAAAAAAAGTGAAGCTCGGCCGTGCAGACCGATTGGAAGTCACTTTCTGAACGGAATGCTCTACTGTGGCATTTCGCTGAACGTTCACGGAGCAGCGATGAGTGGAGATTTGCTCCTGACAAAGAAACAAGTCGACGAAACGGTTCGCAACAAGGTCAAGCTCGAAGAAGACTTGCAACGCAGCAACATCGCGTTAATCCCCCCCCACAATCACAACCACCAACACACAATTTTATTGTTGTAACACAATCCAAGGTCGCAGTCCTCCTTTGGTTTAGTTCACGGAGGATACAATGTCATCCGCCCCAGACAATTTGCTAGACCGAGCCGATGCGAGTGAGTGGACTGACCACCACCACTAGCACCATTCCCAACAACGTTAACACACTCGTACAAGCTTCGAGACTCGGTAGTCTTTTCTCCTGTCCTAAAAGCTGCTACAGTGATTAACTAGAGCGTCGAGCTCATTTAAACCTCTCCACTAGTGATTTACGTCCAAGCAGTTTGTTACTTAACATACGTAACATAATAATAATCACAAAAAATACTGGCCAAGCACCCACAACACCGAGAATAACAAGTCATCACTAGCAGAAGGTGGGGAAATATGCATAACCTTTGAGCTGATTTTTATCCCCACAACTGATCAAATGGGCGAGTTCCTTGATACACGGTAGCTCAAACCTACATTGGACAAGTCAGTCGTGAGGAGCCAGACGTTACTGGTGGCACAAAAGGAAAGCCTGACAATGCATTTTACCTCCGTTTAACTACATCGTCCGCCCGCTGCTCGACAGATCTCGTCACGCTAATAAGAACTCACCGATTGTTTCGGGTAATATCACTTTTTTTCTTTAAATGGCTATTCGCGAGCACCGTGGCAGGCGCTACTCGACGACAGCCTCCCCGAGGATCCCTCCGCTCAACAACACAACACTCCGGAGCCTGTCCAGCACACTTGAAACTATTCAGCCACGGAGTAGCATAACCTTTCACTGCGCTCATCCGCCTAATTTGGCTGGCTACGGCTTAACTTTGTTATCGAACTGAACAAGTTTTTTTTTCCTTTTCTTTTTTTAATCTGCAGGTTTCGACTGCCCTGTCGCCAAATTCATTCATTCCTCTAAACCACCCTCCCTAAACACAACACAGCATTAGTTAACAAGTTAGCTAACGTCAAGGTTGGCTTGATAGCAGCAGGGAAGCAAGCTAGTAAAATGTTCTAAATAGCGACGGCTCTACCGAACAAAAGCAGGCTTACCTATGCTGTCAAGTTGAAAAACACCTCTGGTTTTCGACGAAAGTGGATTAGTAATCCATAGGAACATTTATGAGAAAAATACGACAGATTTAAACGTCGTCCGTTGGCCACCGATTGATGTTGGATGCGGATGGGTAAAAGTCGTTTTCGCAGAGCTGCTGTTTGCCTTGTTGAGTAGCTCCTCTAGCCTAGCTCTTTCTGTGATCCTTCCCCCTCCTCCTGAGAATGATTGACGGGTATACTAATCCCGCCTTTTCAAAAATAAACCCCTCCAATTGGATGGAAGCGACAAAGAAAACGCCTTAGTAACACATGATTGGTCAACCGTGGAGAAAAAATATCCATGGTAAAGTGTCCGATGTACCCTACTGGGTGGTTGTTGACACAATACCGGAGAATACCAAGACAAAAAATGTTGAAAAACTACAACACCCAGTCTTAGAGTACTGGTGTGTTAGGTATGTATGACAGAGTAGCCCGACAGTCGAAGTAAGGTTTTTCTTCGTAACTTACATGTAAGGGATATTGTACCGGGCAATGTAGAGATATAAATGCAACGGAGATTAATGCGCTGCACCTATCTGACATTGCCTAGCTACTTCGCGCCTGCTCTGTAACGCAGACGAAACATATATATGTAGCTCATCAACACTAGCTGGAGAATTGAAAGGCTTGTAGCGTGCTCTACTGTAACGGCGCTAGCTTAGCATAGCACCAGATGAAGTAGCCGACAGCACACCGATTTAAAATGATATGAAGGTCTGGTTATAACAGTTATATTTTGTGCCTTACTCGACCAGCGTGGAAGTGGATGATTTTATCTTGAGAAAGAAAGACATACTGAATGGTGATACACCATTGTGCTAGCCTGCTAACGCTAGCCCAGTAGCAGTGTGGCTAACCGGAATTCAGCACCGGCTAGTTAGCGGACTGAGTCTGCCAAGGTGGGTGGAGTTAAAGTTTCGGTATGTGTTAAGATTCCACGGTAGCATTGTATTTTAAAAGTGGTGTTTTCTGCTCTGCCGAGCATGTTTCATTTCAAATTAATCACTACTGTATGTTCTTAATTTAAAGGGAGCCAGCAAGACGCGAAAACATGGTGCAGAAATGCTGTACACTGGTTAAAAATGTGGCTGAAAGTGGCGTAAACGAGGCAAACTTCCTAAATTGCGATGA